AATGTACCTCCAAACCGCGTCCGAGGTAGTCTTGATATCTCTGGATTTACTCCAGGCTTAGGTGGAAATACAATAAACTTTAAATATACAGAGTTTTGGTTATCTGACGCGATTTTAGAGGAACCAGACGCTTTCTGGAGTCCTGTAGTAAATTGGCAAATTGTCACATCACTAAAACTAACCGCCTCGTCAGGGAAGACAATTAGGAAAAGTAAGTTTGGTACATAAAGCCATCCAAAGTAGCTGAAGGCTGTTACGAGTGGAGGCTCATTAGGAGGTAGAATAGGCAGTGGGTAGGTGTGCCTATGGGGAGGCATACAATGTGATATTATCAATGGTCTAACGTTGTATATTCATGTTGATATGACCCACACTATTGTTGTCACTGGACTGTCAGAAATTCGTCAGAATACGAAGAACACACTTAGGTGTTCAAATGCCCTATTTTGCTAAGTAATGAAAACTGTATGCATCAAACAAGACCAGCGGATTAAAGGTGCAGAATGAACTGGACCATCGAGTGCCGTGCACCAGCTTACGAATAATACTGAAAGGGGAGTTGCTGTGAAGAAACTCGGCTAATTTAGACGACATCGAAATGCCGAAAGCATGAGACTACAACTGGATTGGTTTTGAGTTCAGAAGTCTAAAAACACAGAATGAACTTTTGAGACTACGTTTACTTCCAGCCTAGGCATTTGATTGGAACTTGGAAGTCGAGAACATCCTTGGTATGGTTTCATGAGCTTCTCAGGCATTAAAGCTGCTATCGGTACTGACAAGCGCGGCGGAATTCCAAATAAAGAAGGATTGTGACACGACCATCTGAGTTTTAAAGGTGTAAAGCCCCTATGATGCAAATTCACGTTGATGTCATAGCACACAACTAAAACTTTATATTGAAACATTATTTTCCCGTAAGAAGTTTGAGCAAGGCAAATATCACAAGATTAGCAGATTTTTTGACGTCATACTATTTCGCGACCTTTTATTCAACAGTTTATTTATCGTTTTAATAGGCAATGAGTAAAAGGTTGCAAAATTGTATGATGTCAATAAATTCGGCTGGTCTCGTGATCCTTGCCTCGTTTAAATTTTTTTAGACGTTTTAGATGTTCCCTTTTTTCCGGCGAGTATGCCCCTTCTTTCTTTCTTTCTTTCTGAATCACTCTTCAGTGGGCTGTTTTCTTGCATTCAGGTTGTCCAGCACTACATCTCTCGTTTCTGCTCCATCTACGTGGACAAATACGAGTCCCTGGCTCCAAAGTTGTGGAAGGCTATTGAGGAGGCTATAGTTTCCCAAGAGTGCATTATTTACAGGTGAGTGGCGTGACTTTGGGTCAGCTCCTTGGCGTTTGTTACGTTCGACGGGCAATGCAACTTTTTGGCACAATTTTTAGCCTTTGTTGCCCTCCGTTGTTCTTAATTAAGAGTCGTTTGGCCTATACTTCCTTACTTTCCATACTTTGGTGTCTTACTTCGGGTTCCAGGGGAACGTTGTCTCTAAGCGGTTGACTAATCAGCGTAAGACAGTATTATAATGAAAGGTCTGTTACGTGTTTTTTATGCCCATTTATCTCACAATAGCATCTTATTGGACAGGCAGGTTGCTACTCCGTGTCTGGCAACTAATGACCAAGTCCTGGCTGCAGTTCGTCAGAAAAGTCAATTTCGATGCACTTTTAGTGCCTAAGGTCGTTTCGGAACACTTTCAGAAAAACAAGTTGACCCTTAAGTGCATATTTCATATGACCCAACTGCCTCACCACTCCTACCGGCCTAACAACTCATTATGCTTAGACCTTCGCACAAGTAAGCATAGCACAGGAAACGCAGACACTAAAAGAATGCAGGCTTAGATTACGACTTGGGCGCATATGGGACCGCTCGTAAAACCGGTCATATTATGCACATGGCAGCAGCGAAGCGATCGTTAAATCTTCAGCAATGTAACACGAAAACTCTTACATCTTGCATTATGACGTTCAATTAAACCATCGTAGAGCTAGACCGATAACAACAACGAGGGAGACCAAGTTGGTTATTTCTTTTCCCTTTTGCAGTCACTCGCACTCCCTATTAACATGCGTTTGACTGCAAAACACAGTGCATGTCGGGTCTTTAGACTAGGCTTAACCAATTGGCCAACATCACCGA